ATAGAAATTTTACCTGCTTTTGAAGATGAATGCATCCTAATAAAAATAGAAGCAGTACAGAAGTGACCAAACATGTTATAAGGCATAGGATGATGCAATTATGTCTTCCTTTCCTGGAATCCTTGGAAAAGTTGGTTGATTCTGTGAAAGCCAATGCTTCTGTCAGGTTTCGGTGCTATCTTAAATGAGTTTCATTTTCAAGCGCAATCTCTCTAATGAAACATTTTTATTTAAGAACATAAAAAGCCGACAATCCTGATTTCATTTTTGCAGCCAAACTGGCCCCTCCTTCCAACCCCCTCCTCTTCCGCTCTCCAACCCCAATGTCCCATTGGCCATCATGCAAATCCATCTCTACCTCCCGGCATGTTCTTTTCACAGGAATGTAGCCCCCACCCTCGTCTCCCAGGAAACACTATCTGTACATACAAAACTAGGTAAAAGTTCATCTTGTTATGTCAGCGCTGGAAGAGAGCCTAATTTGGAACACTGACATCCGGCCCCTCTCCCTTCACTTCTGCGACATCACCTATCCCATAGGGAAAACACAACAAGATTAGTCTCATCAGCCCCTGGTCTGGTCGGCCTCTCTCTTTTTCCTCTGGTGGTTTTGACGTGTCACTCGCCCGCAGCCCTCTGTCGACTTTTATCGCTACCCGGAACCATTCAGCGAGTCGGTTTGGGATGTCACGATAGGCAGTCACTTGGGAAATTCTTTTATCTAGGCTTGTTCTAAAAAAATACACCAGCAATCGCTCTGGTAGGGGAGGCAGTGTCCCAATGACTCTCCTGAATTCACGGATATGCTCTCTGATAGGCTTCCCCCTCTGCATTAGGTTTCTGAGCTCGTCTTCCACATAGGGGTCCTCCTCCTCCTCCTCATAACGGGCTCTCAATAGTTGCAAGAACCCATCCGCATTTTGTAGCTGGGGGGCCCTGTATTTGTAGAGTGATGCTGACCACCTCTTTGCTTCTCCCTCCAGCCCTTCCGAGATAGCATTCACTAGGGCTCTGGGGAAAGGGTAGAGGTGTCCGAACCGCTCTATGTATATCTCAGCTGAATCGAGGAATTGGGCGAGGTTGTCTGGGTCACCATCGAATTTCCCTCTGAACTGGGGTGGTTCCTCCCTCTCTGCCCTCTCCTCTCTGTGCTGAGCTCTGGAGGGCCAGCCTTGGTGTTGGTAGTCCTCTGCCTCGTCTCTCATCCTGGGGTGGGGAGGTGCTGCCTTGTCTAGGCTTCGCTGCCATTCCCATCCCCAGCTCGCCCTTCCCAATTCACTTAGGGGTTTTTCTTTATCTTTTACCTTTGTATTTTCCAAGTTGGCTGGAATCACGACCGCTTCTGCTCCTCCCGTTTCTTGAAGCAGGCTTTCCTCCGAGAGCTTGGCTTCAGCCATAGTCCGTCCGACCAGATGTCTGGGAGGGAACGGGATGATTTAAACTCAGCCAGCCTGGATTTGGAGGAGAGTTTGGCTGTCTGTCAGGTTTCGGTGCTATCTTAAATGAGTTTCATTTTCAAGCGCAATCTCTCTAATGAAACATTTTTATTTAAGAACATAAAAAGCCGACAATCCTGATTTCATTTTTGCAGCCAAACTGGCCCCTCCTTCCAACCCCCTCCTCTTCCGCTCTCCAACCTCAATGTCCCATTGGCCATCATGCAAATCCATCTCTACCTCCTGGCACGTTCTTTTCACAAGAATGTAGCCCCCACCCTCGTCTCCCAGGAAACACTATCTGTACATACAAAACTAGGTAAAAGTTCATCTTGTTATGTCAGCGCTGGAAGAGAGCCTAATTTGGAACACTGACATCCGGCCCCTCTCCCTTCACTTCTGCGACATCACCTATCCCATAGGGAAAACACAACAAGATTAGTCTCATCAGCCCCTGGTCTGGTCGGCCTCTCTCTTTTTCCTCTGGTGGTTTTGACGTGTCACTCGCCCGCAGCCCTCTGTCGACTTTTATCGCTACCCGGAACCATTCAGCGAGTCGGTTTGGGATGTCACGATAGGCAGTCACTTGGGAAATTCTTTTATCTAGGCTTGTTCTAAAAAAATACACCAGCAATCGCTCTGGTAGGGGAGGCAGTGTCCCAATGACTCTCCTGAATTCACGGATATGCTCTCTGATAGGCTTCCCCCTCTGCATTAGGTTTCTGAGCTCGTCTTCCACATAGGGGTCCTCCTCCTCCTCCTCATAACGGGCTCTCAATAGTTGCAAGAACCCATCCGCATTTTGTAGCTGGGGGGCCCTGTATTTGTAGAGTGATGCTGACCACCTCTTTGCTTCTCCCTCCAGCCCTTCCGAGATAGCATTCACTAGGGCTCTGGGGAAAGGGTAGAGGTGTCCGAACCGCTCTATGTATATCTCAGCTGAATCGAGGAATTGGGCGAGGTTGTCTGGGTCACCATCGAATTTCCCTCTGAACTGGGGTGGTTCCTCCCTCTCTGCCCTCTCCTCTCTGTGCTGAGCTCTGGAGGGCCAGCCTTGGTGTTGGTAGTCCTCTGCCTCGTCTCTCATCCTGGGGTGGGGAGGTGCTGCCTTGTCTAGGCTTCGCTGCCATTCCCATCCCCAGCTCGCCCTTCCCAATTCACTTAGGGGTTTTTCTTTATCTTTTACCTTTGTATTTTCCAAGTTGGCTGGAATCACGACCGCTTCTGCTCCTCCCGTTTCTTGAAGCAGGCTTTCCTCCGAGAGCTTGGCTTCAGCCATAGTCCGTCCGACCAGATGTCTGGGAGGGAACGGGATGATTTAAACTCAGCCAGCCTGGATTTGGAGGAGAGTTTGGCTGTCTGTCAGGTTTCGGTGCTATCTTAAATGAGTTTCATTTTCAAGCGCAATCTCTCTAATGAAACATTTTTATTTAAGAACATAAAAAGCCGACAATCCTGATTTCATTTTTGCAGCCAAACTGGCCCCTCCTTCCAACCCCCTCCTCTTCCGCTCTCCAACCTCAATGTCCCATTGGCCATCATGCAAATCCATCTCTACCTCCTGGCACGTTCTTTTCACAAGAATGTAGCCCCCACCCTCGTCTCCCAGGAAACACTATCTGTACATACAAAACTAGGTAAAAGTTCATCTTGTTATGTCAGCGCTGGAAGAGAGCCTAATTTGGAACGCTGACAGCTTCCATATTCCAGGAGCTCAAACCAGGAAAATGGAAAATTTCTTCAGAACTTCTTCAGAAGTTAGGAACCTGACTGTAGAAAAGGTATTTATATACTTGCCTTTTACAAATGGGTGGGGTTTGCATTTCATCATAACTGAATAATAAAAGAGGGCACCAAGACAACAAAACGGATATAAGAAAATAGCACTTTCATTTGGCTTGGAGCCCAGCATCTGCTATGTAATGAATGCCGGGAGAATTTTATACATCAGCTGTTCATATTTATGAAATTTCACAAAATTGTACTGCAGAATATCAACCAGTCAATCTGTGATTAGCATACTCCACAATGAAATGAAAAAGAACTGCAGGGTTACAAATAAAAATTAGATTCAAAAAAAGATCAGGAGCAATATGGCATATACAGAGAACAATTGGATATAGATAAAATTCTATTAGGACCGGGGCGGGGGGGGGGAATGATCACAAAAAAATTACAATCTCTTATTAAAATACAAAATGGAAGATGAAACAGTAAAAGAAACAATGATCTGTTGGGCAAAAAACCTCCGGCACAATATAGAATTAGAAAAGTGGGACAAATTGTAGGATAGAAATTATAAATTAACAATGGCAGTAGCCTATAAGGAAAATTTGTATAAAATGTTCCATTGATGGCACTTGGCACCAGTGAGATTGGCCAAAATGTTCTCAAATTTATCACCTAATTGTTGGAGATGTAGTTACAAATTAGGCACATACTACCATATGTGGTGGATGTGCCTCAAGATAAAAAAAAATTGGCGAAAAAGAACTGCAGGGACTTCTTCATTTCTACCTAATAGGTAAAAATTGCTGTCTGTTTCCTAAATATCTTTATGAACCAATTAAGATATTTTAATACATGAGAGGGACTGACAGCAGCTTTTAAAACAGTTCCATTAAGGATACAAAAATTTGACATATTATTAGTAACCATCTAATTAATCCAAACTAAAATATGGAATTGGCTACCCTACCCAAAAGAGTAATCACTTATAATGTTTCTATAATAGAAGATGCAATTATGGGACTAGTAACTCTTTTGCTTGATGCTTCTTATCCATCCCCCCCAAACCCCAGTTCAATCTTGTTGTGTAGGTTTGCTCCATTATTTCTTTCTTAGCTCCTCTTCTCATCAGCTCCATCTGTTGTGGTCTGTCAGCAGCCTGCGGAGCTGGCAGCAGAATCAGACAGTGAAGAAGTTGTGGAGGAACATGGGCCAGTCCTGGAGTCTGGGGAAGGCTCGGACGACGGCTCTGCATCAGAGGCAGAGATGGGGCCAGGGCCATCTGGGACTTATGTACAGACCCAGGAGCCTCCAGAGTCGGATATCAGAGAGGCAGAGACACAAGGGGAGCCTGTTCCTAGTGCATGCATGCGCAGAGCTGCCAGAAGGCAAGAACAATTAAAACAAAAGGGACGACTCGGGAGTAAGGCTTGGAGATGATTGGCCCCTCCCATAAGACATAAAGGAAGAGCAAAGGCACGTGGGCCTTTGCAGGAAGCAATGTTGTGGATGGTGTCAGTGTTGAAGCTCCATTTTTGACTCTGTGTTTCTGTGTGGCCTTGCCAAGATAATTGCCAATTAGGTCTTTGGCAGCGTGTCAAAGAAGATAATGATGGGTGTTTACCAGCCTTATCCCAAGGACTGTGGCAGACTTCTGTTGGACTATTTATAAACTCTTGGTGATTCAGCACGTGCTGTGAATTAAAGGAATTCAGAGCCGTTAAAATAAAAAAAGGGGTTTTGGGACTAATTGTGTGCTTTTTACTATATCAGAAAGCCTAGGTCAGAACAATTTGCTTCCTGCCCAAAACTAATTACAAACAAACCTTTATCACGATGAAGCAGCTTCGTGCTGAGAACGTGCAGCTTCAGCAGCAATTAGCTTTGTTGGCAGCACAGATGGCTCAGCTCCAAGCTCATGCTGCTCCACCTCCCCATAGAAAATGTCCGGTTGCTGTGCCAGACAAGTTTGATGGCAATCAGGCCATGTTTCCTGCTTTTTTGGGACAATGCCACTTTTTTATCAGCCTGAGAGCTGAAGACTTCCCCACTGACTGGGATAAAGTGGGATTTATGATCAGCCTGCTCTCCGGCTCTGCGGCTCGCTGGGCCACGCCCCTGCTGGTTCAAGCTAGTCCTCTGTTAGACAATTTCAGGGGGTTTTGTGATTATCTCAGATTTTTGTATGAGGACCCCATCAAAACACAGACTGCTACCCAACGTCTGAAGACCTTGAAGCAGGGCTGGCAACCACTGTAGGAATATATCAATGAGTTTCAGTTGCTTAGCCAGGATTCGGCCTGGAACGAGGCTGCCCTCATGGACATGTTCCAGAATGGGTTATCGGAGGAGTTGCAGGACGAGCTGGTCCGGGTTGATATTCCTCCAACCCTCAATGTGCTGGTCCATCTGTGCCTTAGGATCAATGCCCGGTTGCAGATACTGTCCAGTCGCTGTGCCTGCCAGGACATGGTACCAGTCATGCGTGAGACCCCAGCTCCACAGGAGGAGGCCATGGAAATAGGTGCAGCCAGACCCCATCTGTCACAATGCCGCCACTTGCCCCAAGAAGCAATGAGGGGAGTCGGCTCCTGGGCCTGCCCCATTGATTTGATTCTGGATGTGCCGCTCTCAGTGGGGCATTTGTATTCAATGTCGGACCCTAAGTTGGCCCCACTGTGGGACTTTGTGGACAAAAATCTGGCTCAGGGTTTTATCTGGCCCTCGTTGTTGCCACTGTCCGCCCCGGTCCTGTTCATGAAAAAGAAGACCAGAGAATTGCAGCTTTGTTGCAACTACTGCAAGTTAAATGCCATCACAGTGCGCAACTGGTATCCTCTGCCCCTTATTTCCGAACTGTTGGAACGGCTCCAGAAGGCTACCATGTTCACCAAATTGGACCTGCACAGAGCTTATAATCTTGTTCGGATCCGTCCTTGGGATGAATGAAAGACGGCATTCGGCACCAGGTACAGACATTTTGAGTCATGCTGTTTGGGCTGACCAATGCTCCTGCCGTCTTCCAACAATTTATGAATGACATTTTCCAGGACCTCTTGGACCAGTTTGTCATGATTTACTTGGACAACATTCTGATCTACTCTCCCTCCTGGGGGAGCCACCAACAGCACCTCCACCTGGTCCTGCAACAGCTTCGGGAGCATCACTTGTATGCTAAACTGGAAAAATGCCAATTTTTCCAGTCCACCATCAAGTTCCTGGGGCATCGCATCTCTCCTGAGGGCATTGCCATGGAGCCAAGCAAGATCGAGTCTTTGTGTAGTTGGCAACCTCCTTGGTGAGTGAAGGATGTCTAGCAACTCCTTGGGCTTAACAACTACTATCGGATCTTTATCCCTGGTTTTGCTTCCTTGACCGCACCCCTCACTCAGCTCCTGCAGAAAAAGATCCCGTTCTGGTGGAGTACACCAGAGCAGCAGGCATTCCAGGCCTTGAAGCAGGCATTCATGAAGGAGCCCACCTTGAAGCATCCTGACCCCCCACCATCCATTTGTAGTGGAAACAGATGCGTCGGATGTTGCTGTTGGAGCGGTGTTACTCCAGGCTCACACGTCCGGCAGTATCCTCTTCCCTTGCGTGCATTAGTCGCGGAAGCTCAACCCTTCCGAGTGCAATTACAGCATCTGGGAGAAGGAGCTACTGGCCATTAAGACAGCATTTGAGGCCATCTTCTGGAGGGGGCCTGCATCAAATTGAAGTCCGGACAGATCATAGAAACCTGAAGTTCCTGCAGACCGCCCAGAAACTGAACCAACGCCAGATTCAGTGGTCTTTCTTCTTTATCTGGTTCAATTTCCACGTCAGCTACATCCCCAATGGTCGCAACCAAAGGGCGGATGCGCTCTCACGGAAACTGGAGTATTGCCACATCGAAGACCTGTTTCCACTCTGGACAGTTTTGCCTGTAGAGTCTTTCTCCACAGTTCAGGAACCATTGGACTTATGGGCTCACATACGGGAAGTGCAGTGGCACGATGGTTACGTGGAGCAACGGAAGGAAGAGGTAGAGCCTATCTTTCCATGGACTTTTATCAAGGACCTCTTGTGGTACCGAGACAGGCTATACGTGCCGGTCGGGCTGCTACAGGAATTTATCTTGTCGCAGTGCCATGATAATCCTGCGGCGAGGCACTTTGGCCTCTTTAAGATAATGAATCTAATTTCTCGCACCTTTTGGTGGCCCCGATTGTGACACGATGTCCAGGCCTACATCACGTCCTGTGTTCGCTGCTGACAGGCCAAGTTGGCAACAGGAACCCCCCCATGGTTGCTGCAGCCATTGCCGACACCAGAGAGACCATGGGTGCCATTTCCATGGACTTTTTGATGGATTTGCCTCCGTCTTCTGGATTCATGACCGTGTTTGTGGTGGTAGACATGCTGACAAAGATGGTGCATTTCATTCCATGTCGTGGGTTACTGATGGCTCGCACCACCACCCACATGTTTATTCAACACATCTTCTGGCTGTACAGCCTACCTGATAGGGGCGATTCAGACAGAGGGTCTCAATTTACAGCCCAGTTATGTAAAGGGCTGATGATCAAGAGCCTTGGTAGTACAGTGGTTTAAAGCACCCTGTTATTAACACAGCTGCCTGCAATTACTGCAGGTTCGAATCCTACCAGGATCAAGGTTGACTCAGCCTTCCATCCTTTCTAAGATAGGTTAAATGAGGACCCAGTTTGTGGGGGCAATAAGCTGACTTTGTATAAATATACAAAAAAAGTATGAAGGCTATTGCTTAACGCAGTGTAAGCCGCCCTGAGTCTCTGGAGAAGGGCAGCATATAAATCAAAAATTTTTTAAAAAATGACAGCCTTAGATGTGAAAATCTGCCATTGATGCATCATCTGGAAACTGACAGCAGGACTGAGAAAGTCATCGGGATCCTGGAGCAATACCTGTGCTGCTTTGTGAACCAGCAACAAGAAATTGGTCTGATTATTTGGCAGTAGCAGAGTTCACGTTCAACAACTTGCAGCACACCTCCATGCAAATGACCCCTTTCTTGGCCAATGTGGGATATCGTCCTTGGTTCTTTCCCCTCACACAACTCACCTCATTGGTTCCAGTAGCTAATGACTATCTGTCTGAGTTGCAGGCCGTTCATCATTTGGTGCAATGGTATCTGGAGAAAGCCAAGGAGGACTATAAAAGAGTCGTGGACCAATCTTGGTGGGCAATGCCACCGTTGGCTGTAGGAGATCGGGTATGGTTGTCTACCAGTCACCTTCCATCATACCAGCCCGTCAGGAAGCTAGACCACTGGTACCTTGGCCCGTTCCCTGTTGAGGCAGTTATTAACCCGGTTGCCTACCACTTGACATTCCAGTTGACCCAGTCTTCCATAGATCTTCCTTGTTCCAGAATGGCCAGCCTGTCCACTCTGCCAACCTGACCGTCCCCAACCAGCACCACGTGACAGAGATGGACCACCCGAGTACAAGGTCGTCAGCATTCAGCACTCCAGATGGCTGAAAGGATGGTTCCAGTATCTCATTGAGTAGAAGGGATATGGGCTCTTCTACGCAATTCCTGTCACAGCTGCATCTGAATCACCAGACCAGGGGGAAGGGCCCTGCGATGAGGGATAGTGTTGTGGTCCACCAGCAGCCTGCAGAGCTGGCAGCAGAGTCAGACAGTGAGGAGGCTGGGGAGGAACATGGGCCAGTCCTGGAATCTGGGGAAGGCTCAGACGAGGACTCTGTGACAGAGGCAGAGATGAGGCCAGGGCCATCTGGGAATTATGTGCGAACTCAGGAGCCTCCAGAGTTGGATATCAGAGAGTCAGAGGAACAGCGGGAGCCTGTTCCTAGTGCACGCATGTGCAGAGCTGCCAGAAGGCACGAACAATTAAAACAAAAGGGACGACTCGGGAGTAAGGCTTGGAGATGATTGGCCCCTCCTATAAGACATAAAGGAAGAGCAAAGGCACATGGGCCTTTGCAGGAAGCAATGTTATGGATGGTGTCAGTTTGTACTTTGAAGCTCCATTTTTGACTCTGTGTTTCCGTGTGGCTGTGTGGCCTTGCCAAGATAATTGCCAATTAGTGTAAAAGAAGATGAAGGTGGGTGTTAACCAGCCTTATCCGAAGGACTATGACAGACTTCTGTTGGACTATTTATAAACTCTTGGTGATTCAGCATGTGCTGTGAATGAAAGGAATTCACAGCCGTTAAAATTTTTAAATAGCAGGTTCTGATGAGCCTTGTGAAATCCCAGGCTGACAAACCACTGTCGAGGGGTCTTCAGATCAGAACTGTCCTGTAGGGACAGAGAAGAAGGAGAGGCACCTTGGATAACCAAGAAGAACCGGCAAGTTCCTCGGAGGTCGAAGGAAACTCTTTGTCTCGGTGGCGGGGGCGGTAGCCATTGCAGCGGCCATAAAGCTGGGGCAACTGGACCAAGTTCTGAGCAGGAGCGGTGATTTGAATGGAGTATTGATGCTGGGTGAGTGATTGTCAGCTCATAGGCAAAAAAGAAACATTTTTAAATTGTTAAAAGGTGCCCCAGCAAAATAACAGCAGCTAAGGGGCGTGGGGGAATGTAAATGAAGGAAGAAGAATAAAGCGGAAGTTTTTTTTTATTGAAAAGTTTTACAAAGAAAATTTTCCCCTCCAATATTCCCCCCACCCTTTTCCCCCTCCCCACCACCCCCACACCTCTTCCCCCCTTCCCATCCCACCCTCCCCCCCAGACTTCCCAGAGCAAAATACAGGGTATTTATAACAATAAATACTCTGTATTTAGCTTATAACAATCATAAGCTAAATTAGCCTAACTATTCTTAAACTTCCTAATCCCTCCCTGAAACCTTAACTCCACTATGGATAACATAATACTTCTAATACTAACATTCATTCATAAGCTATTTGATATTTTCTTGTCTGATACTTATTTTGAATATAATCAATCCATCTTCTCCATTCCGATATGTATCTTTCTTGTGTATAGTCCTTCAGATATGCTGAAATTTTCGCCATTTCCGCTAAGTTCGCTACTTTCAATGTCCATTCTTCAATAGTAGGCAAAGAGTCCTTCTTCCAGTATTGCGCTACCAACAGCCTAGCTGCTGATATTAAGTTCAAGATCAGTTTAGTCTCTAATACTGTACAATCCGTTGTTATACCCAATAAAAACAATTGAGGAGTAAATTTCAACTTTTTTTTCAGAATGTTCTGCATTACCCACCAAATTTTTATCCAAAATGCCTTGATTTTCTTACAAGCCCACC